TCGCGGAGAGACGAAGACTTGCAAGACCCATGAAAGCCTTAACATTTAGGTTGACTCTCGTGAATCTTCAACGCATTCCAGGACAGGTGCCAGTGGGGAGTCATTCCATATTGTCAGGTAGTCAGCCATGTGGGTCAATTGCGAGAAATGAATCCCCCGCAGTCATGGGTTTGCATCGCAGGGCCTCAGCGGTTTGAGTTCTGAAGCGCCTTTCAAGGGCAGATTACTAGCTAGACCATATTCTAGAGTATGTACAGGCTTGGTCTTGGTATCATTTGTATAGTTCGAAGCCACCACGTGTGGCTATAAAAAGTGTGGTAATCAAGCATAAATATGCGAGTTTCTGATGTGCGTTAGTTGTGTTCAACAAGTAGTAGGGCAGAGGTCGTGACTTACAACCCCACTTGACGCAGCAGTAGCTGGTGCCTCCAGTGTGCTGAGAGCAAGTGTAACCAGCAAGGCATCCCTGGAAGGCGCAAGTGAACCTGGAGCTGTAGCAAGCACCAATGTCCTTGACCTCGGCGCGTCCCTCCAACTGCTCAATCTCGGTGGGAGCAGCGGTCGCGGTGGCGGACAGGAGTCCGAGGGCGAGGACGACGAGCTGAGTTGGCTGGAAAAGCATTTTGATATTGAAGTTGAAGGAGTGTCTAGAAGTTGGAAGTGTTTGAGTGTTTGAAGGTGATAGTGAGCAAGTTCATTGTCAATTGGTCGCGCTTCTGGTCCGTATTAATACTTTCAGATGAACCATGGTCTGCAATGCTGTTTTGTCTGTTGAGCTTTGCGTGGAGTCCGGGGAAGACGACTCTGGAGTATTGGGATCAACATCTGCTCCGCTGCAGATGTCTTGGCTCCTTTGGCTGATACGGGGCGCAAGTCATCTGTGGATCAGATTTGGCGATGTCTTCACTGAAGCGTTGACTCGTATTGACAACAGCAACATAGCGAGTCATTGTGATTGAGCAAGTTGCAGAATGGTCGTCAGGTTTAGGCGGAGACATCCAGATTTGCAGATCGCAGCCTAGTCTGAAAGGCGTCAATAGGGCGCTGTTACACAAACGTCACTGCAAGCATGCAGTCGTAAAAGCCGCGTATAGAATGTAGAAGTTTCGAAAGCTGCTCGTCTAAAGTTGCACCAACAACGTAGTGGATTAGAATTCTCGTCTCGAGTTTAGTGGAATGCTTGTATCACGGGTCGGGAAACCTTAAATGGCTTGTCTGATCCATTTAAAGGCAATTAAGAAGAAAGTCTAAAATTGGTAGCGAAATCAGTTTGGTCGGGCGAGTCAGCGTGGTTAAGCTAGGTTCCCCAGCATTTTCGACCGCAACGTCGGGTTGTGGCGTGACGATCATTTGAGCCGCGGGACCGCCTCAAGTTTTCGGATTTACAAAGGCCGAGCCCGGGGGATTAAGACTTTCTCCCCGGGCTCGCTGACATCCGCAATAAGTTCGGGAGATGAAGGATTTCTTGATTATCATCAACTCCGACTCTGTCTGGTTGTCGCTCTGTGTGTTGTGCGAATCAAAACTCCCAAGCCGGCCAGTTGCTTGTGGGTTCCGCAAGTGGAGGAGTCCGCGGCCAGACCTCCTTTCCTCCAATGAACACGCGTTCGATATCCTCAACCCCAGACGAGAAAAAAAAGGCCGATACGGGATCCCCTAGATGACCCATATGAGGAGGGTTAAGGAGAACGATGTCCGTCAGCTTGCCGACCTCAAGGCTTCCGACTTTACCAACCACACCCAAAACATCCGCAGCACCCAGCGTGTGCATATGAAAGACGTCCTGAGGAGTCAACGCCGACGGGTCTTCATACTTGCCTCTTACGGAGTACAGGCCCACACGCATGTTCTCGAACGGGTCGCTCCGGTCGCTACTCGCTTCTCCGTCTACACCCATGCCGATCGGGAGATTGTGTCTTCGATATTTGGGAATGTCGGCAATCCCAGACCGGAGGCGCCCGTTGGACATTGGATTCCAGCTCATTATGAGCCCCGCTGAGGCAGCCTCGTCAAGAATGTCGGGTTTGGATGGAGGAAATGGCCTAGGATAAGCTTCGAGTTGACCGCATCAGCATCTCTGAGCCACTCCCAGCGGGATTGTTCCAGATCAACATGGACCGGCCGGGGACTTTCCAAGTAAAGGATCTGCCCTCCTAGGCCCAATTTTCGCATGACTTCAGCTTCCATGCGTGTGTTGATATCCGTATCGTAGTTGATGCCGTGGTGTGCAATCATGGTACCGAGATATTGATCAGAGTGGTTGGAGGTAGACGCCCAGTCTACAAATAGTCGAGCACGCCTCAATGCTAACTCTGGAGTCCATGTTTCCCTGATAGCTCCGATGTTGAACCCATGGAAGAACCGGATACCGGAGTCCAGAGCCCCTTCGAACTGGGCTCGGTCCGTTTGGCCCTCACGGAATCGGGCGGAGAACGTGAAGTTGAAAGCAGTCGTGATTCCCCTTCTGATGTGGTTTCTTGCGCCTTGTATTGTGAGGTCACAAAACTCGGATGCTGGCAACACGCGGACTTCGGAGTAGATACCGTCTCCCCACTCAGCCACCGTGTCAATGGGGGCTTGTCCGGCGAACTTGCTCTGCCATAGATGGCTATGCGCTGAGATGAAGCCTGGAAGCAACCATTTTCCCTCCGCTTCAATCACCACATCGGCATTTTGCAATCTCGTCGCGGTTCTCGAGGCCGACATAGGCAATAGTGCCTTCGCGGGATACTAGCACGTCCGCAGGATAGAGTCCTTGGTCGGGTAGTGGTGACAGGACCTTACCGCCTGTGAAAGCCACCGTATACTGTCTGGCTGTCATGAGTCGCTGCCAATGCGGATCGTTCACTTGATTTGTAAGGTTATGGGTTTGTCGGGGTGGTAAATTGGAGATGGTTGTTACGTGTTCATAGCGGTCGCGAAGTCCTTCCGCTACAGATTAAACAAACCCGACTATGGCCGTGACCTTCAAGGCATCACGAAAACAGGTTGTGGAAGAAAAGGTTGGATTTGAAGTTCTGAGCGTATGAGTCAAGGTGCGATCCGACGCAGTGTGCCATTTAAGCTTTTCCTGATTGGTTGTTCTGCCCGAACGCAACGCATGGCGTTAGTTTGCCGATCAAGGATGTCGCCGGCTATTAGAGCACACCGACATCAATTAGAAAGAGCTAATTTTAACTACGACAAGATGGGCAGCAGGTTCAATCATGGGTATCCAGACATGGATGTTTTATCTGCGCGAAAAGATTGAGATGTATTGAGCTTCATAAACAAGGTTTGTTTTCTTCGTCGAGTATTCTACATAATTTGTATGCTATGCATTACCTACAATCATACTGTTACCTGTTGCATTCATTGAAGCTTCACAAAGCATCTAGATGTGTTTGGCCCACGAGGTAGGTAGGTTTGATTGACTAAAGTAATTTACGAACAGCTTCACGATAGGAACGGATTTGAGGACGAAAATTCCTACTTTGGTCCACCTAGGATATACCCTCACCAGGGGAAATCGATGCCGTTCATGATAGTTTATGATGAGATTTTGGCAGGGCGAATTGGCTAGTCGTCAACCTGGGATTTTCAAACTTCATCGAGGTTACTGGACGTGTAATCAGCGCTATTTTGATCAACTAACACCAGTCCTGCTGGCTCACTTCTGACGTGTTTTATGCTTGTCGCCGACCCATGCCATAGAACAGCAAAAATTCTTATATTACCCAAACTTAAGCTCACATGTCCTTTCATAACTTTCCATTATTAAGGGTATAGCTGAAGCTTTCTTTATATCGGTCCACACACGCCGTGACGATAAGTAAGCTACTTGTATGTACGCCTGCGCCTGACCTTTATAGGCTCATACAACTACGCTCCTCATGCAAAAGGGTTCATTATTCTTACGCAACCAAACAATTCAATCCAAAGTATATTTCAGTGTCGCTTCAGTCGGGGGCCTTGCGGCCCAAAGACCTGCATATCGTAGTCGTCAGTCCTCGTCACAACCCTCTTATGGCATTTCGAGCACGAATAGTGGGTGTACTCGGTATCCCCACATACGCAGAATAAGGAGAGGCAGCATAGTCCTGCGCCACACCTGGGATCATCGGGTTAGTCGTGCCATAGCGTGCGAGGTATCGTCGGGCTAATGCTCACCTTTGCAAGGTGGCGTCTTCTGTATCGACATTTATCACGGTTCTCTCCGTACAGAATGGACAGTCGATCCATTGAGGAGGTGAGTACATCCATTGAGGTGATTCACCGATCATATGCAACGGAGTGACGCTTTGTTCCATTGGAGCCGCCATCGTGTTTGGGTCGCCTTCCTCCTCCTGTCCTTCAGCCAGAAGAGTTGTCGGTGCAGACCTTTTGTGGCATTAGCTATTGAACAAGGCTGCGAAATTAGGACTGGCAAGAAATGTACTGGGAGCTTTCCAGGCTGGCGACGGGCACCGGGCTTGTGGGTCGTGTTGTGGCGATGATCGGGTCCCGAACGTGGACTAGCGGCGGTTGCTGGCAGGTAGCGGCGGCGGGAGACTCCGCCGTAAGTGACTGCGGTTGCGTCATTGTGTATATGCGTGCTGGGTGATTTGGCACAAAGGCTAGCGAGCGCAATCGAGCGAGGGGCCAGGCTTTAAGCATCCGCTCGAAGATGAATCAGAAATAGCCAATCATTAAGAGCGTCTCGTTACACAACCCATAAGCCAGGAGAGCAGCTGACCGACCCACCCAGGCATCGGGCGGCTATGAGAGGACATTTGTACTACAGGATGACGGAACAACGAGGACTCACTCGGAAACGGAAGAAGTATGGTGCAAGTCAGCAAGTACGCTGCATATTAGCTGGAAAACCTCGCCCAATCAGTGATACCCAAACTCCACGTACTGCGAGGCTGCTACCAATTACTTGTTGTATTACTTATTATGCTATCTGAAGATAAATCACACATCTAGGAGATCAATGGGCTGTTCAAGCGAGCCAAAGTCGGCATCGCCTGCTTCCATGTCTACCCGTCCAGTTCCGGAGAAAGGTATGCTCCAACTCTGTTCCATTAGCAGGTCATTCAGAATAATTGTCAAGAGTCTAGACGTACCCGATGATAACATAGCAGGCGCACATGAGACCGCCCTTGAGTCCGCTTGTCCGCAGTACGCTATTCCCATCGCTCAGGATCAACAGATTCACCAAGAGTGCTGTACCCATCAGGGCGGCTACCTCAAAGAGGGTGAAACTGAGAGACAGGTCTCGAGAGAGAATCCATCCCGCAAGGACCGTCAAGGGCGCCACACAAAGGGCAATCTGGATTGATGACCCCACGGCGACCGCAATGGCGAGGTCCAGCTTCTCCCTCGATGCCACCGTCACCACGGTGACATACTCGGCGACATTGCCGACAATTGGCAAGATGATGAGGCCGATAACGGATTCGGAGAGGTGTCCCTGGTGGGTTACTTCATCGATCGTGCTGACGAGGAACTCGGCGCACATGGACATCAACCCAGAGCTGATGATGAGAATCATGACGGGAATGAGCCTCTCCATGATCGACTTTGAAGGCTGCATTTGATCGCCGCGAGTGTTGTCTAGACTTGCACGACTACTACGAAGGGCTTGTAGGTTGGCGAGCCCTGACCTGACTAATCTTCGATGTTCGATGCCGGCGGTGGACCCATCTCGGCTGAGGGTTGTCCAGCGAGAGCTACCGGAAAGCGACAGCGACCGACTGTGCGTTCTCGCCAAGGAATGTTGAGAGCTAGGCCGATCGAAGGCATTCCGTGGTTTCCAGGTCTCCCGACCACGGCGCTCTTCTGGTTTGTCATCGTCCGACTCGGATTCAGATGTCTCGTTTCCGTCCAGCTGCGACGAATATCCTGTTGTATTAGGGGCATCCTGACGTTTCTTTGATGTCCCTTCGTCTGCGAAGCGAATTGTTCGATTGGGAGGAACAGCTTCTTGAACCTGATGCCTCGCCTGTTGTGCAGGTATTGACGGAGAGGTGGGGAGGCTTTCCAGGTCGAAAGAGTGTGTCGGGGCTGCGTGGTATGAACGGTTTGCAGAGTGTGTCCTGAACTCGTGAACGAAATAGAGTATGTAAATCAGCAGTACCATCAATGCTGATGCCCGGCTCATCTTCAAGATTGCCCCGCCGGCATCTTCGGTGTCGTTGAAGGTGTGATAGAACGCTGTCTGCCTTGTCTGAGCGATGCCCTCTACTGTAGTACTCAATTTCAACATACCGGGATGAGGAAGACAAACACAGAGACGAACAGCAGACAGCTGAGAAGTTGCGTCTCTGTTGTGTTGAGGACCGGGTCGTCATGCCACAGGCCGTTGACACATAGCGCCATACCGAGAATCGGCAGCAAGTTTACAAGCATCGAACCAAGGATGGACGCTTGCACAACATGAATTTGATTGTGCTTGAGTGCCACACTTGAGCTGTTAGTTCCTGTAACAGCTGTTTCTAGAGTCAAACTCACATGCTGTCAAGAGAATGCACGTTAATACTATGCCGAGGAGCGGGGTTCAAAGGACACTTACAACAAGATCAACTCCACGAGATTTCCCAAGCTGATGTTCAAAAACGCGCCTATCGTATCCCCGGCATCGCTTGCAATTTTCTCAGTCGCACCAGTGAGCAACGCTGACAACGGAATGATCGCGATGCCATTGAAAACAAACACCAAAATCGGGCTGGCATTGGACAGGAACAGCCCAAGACCGACAGGGACGAAGACGAGCAGCACGTTGAGCCAGGACGACAGCATCGTGTGTCTCAAAAGCCCCAAGGTTCCTCTCGCCCTCGAGCGGATGGGCCGCTGCTTTTCGTCCGTTGGCAGGCCGTCTTCGGTTGACTCTGAGTCCGATTGGGGGGCACGGGACACGGACGATTGCGCGTCGAGGCTGCTGGACGGAGAGGCCGGAAAGCATAAACTTTGAATCCGTTGCAGACCATCTGCTCTCGTTAGCACGAGATGATCAGTCGTCGATGGCAAAGAGGCCTGCGTAGTGTTACCTTGGAAGTGATGTTTGAAAAACTCCCGCATGGCCGGTTTTTCAGGTAGCCCGGGTTGAGGATAGCTCGCTCAGGGGCGGTTCGGATCGGTGGGCGCGGGTGGTGGATGTGTCGGCGAATTATCCCTCATGACACAACCATCGTCTGCGTCATCTCTCGATGATTGTCCGAACTGGGTATCCCGCAATGTATTCGGGAGGCCTCCAAGCGAGTTTCTCATTAAAAAAGAGGGTTTTTCTTCAAGACGTATATGAGCGATTTTCAGGATTGGTGAACTCGCCAGGCAGGCAACCGGGGGGTTTTCGCGCCCTTTTAATATTCATTAACTCGACGAGAATGGTCAAACGCCCGCTCTTTCCGCGTCGTGTCTCGGAGATCTTTAGATGAACCATGCTGATGGATCTTTGGCGGTTTGTATACGGCTAACTGAAGTCGTGAGGATTATACGTGGTGAGATGCTTGGCGCGACTTTATGCCCTCTCGTGGTGGTCTAACCGTTTCGGCTCGTGCGGCCGCTCGAGGGGTCATGCACTGAGGTTGGCTGAGCCACCAGATGGACCCTGCTGATCGACTTGTAACATCCCAGCTTGTCATATTGAGAGGTGGATATCGCGGGGTGGACAGCGTTGGCAGACCGAGATGACGAGGCATGTTTTCAAACAACTACCTATGAGGATGGTGCTGCGGTTTTCCTCGGCCAATTTGCCAACGACCAAACGCCCTCCGTTGATTCTTTCTGTCTTGAAGTGCTTTTCTTTGTCCCTAGCGAACTGTTGTTTGCCTGACGTCTCGCATAAGATTCTAGTGAACTTTTGTTTAGAGAAAATGGTTGATGTTGAACACATGTTCAGTCGTGACTGCCCTCCAGCCATCTTGTAGATCAGTGCTCACCTGCTGTCCAGCCAAAGCCCTATGAGGCTCTTGCGGTAAGCTGTTACAACCAACCGAATAGGACAGAGACTAACCCATCATATCAAGACTCCTATTGCAGTATTGAGGCTCAAACACGATGGTTCGGCTCATTACTAAGACCCGTGGTTGAACACACCGACCGGCATCTCTCGCCGAGAAACGACGGCCCGCTCCATGGGTTCGCGGACGCTACAACACCCCCACGCCTGTGAGTTGAGGCCCCAACACACCACCCTCAGCGCTAAGCTTCTGTCTAGTCTGCCTTCATTTATTCATATCTGTCTCAGTGTGAGCCCCAGCCCTAAACCTTCTGAGAGTCTTCAGTCTGTTTGCATCGACTTGAAATGAAATGAGCTACGAAGAAACAATTCCTCTCGGCAAGAATTCAAGTCTTCTTGAGTCTCCCAGGCACGGCGCCGCTACATCATTTGAACATGCTGCATGTAGCTCAGAGAACCCCACTAAAGTGACATTCAGCCGACCATCCGCTCAACAGCCGTCGGGCCAGCTCTGACCGACATGCCCTCTCCACGAATCATCATCATTTCATCCCGACGCAGGAATGCCCCTCCATTGAAATCGCGTCTCTGAAGCTCCAGCTATTAGCACATGATCGTGAGGTGGGGTTGAGTCGTGCATTCGTACATGAGATGCGTTGCACGATGTAGAGAGCGCAGTAAGTTGGCCGTCTTCATCTCATTCACATCATCCACTGACGATCATGGCCACGCAGTTCGAGTTCGACGAGTCCATCAAAGGCGCACTCCCGCCCGACTTCACCTGGGGCTTTGCAACAGCCGCCGCCCAAGTCGAAGGCGCCTGGGACAAAGATGGCAAAGGCGAGTCCATCTGGGACAAGTTCGCCCACACGCCAGGCAAAGTCAAGGACGGCAGCACCGGTGACGACGCCGTGCGCTCCTACGACCTGTACAAGACAGATGTCGCCCTCATGAAGCGCTACGGCGTGAGCGGCTACCGCTTCTCTCTTTCCTGGTCGCGCATCATCCCCCTCGGCGGCAAAGACGACCCCGTCAACGAGGCAGGCATCGCTTACTACAACCGCCTCATCGACGAGCTCCTCGCCAACGGCATCACCCCCTTCGTCACGCTCTTCCACTGGGACACCCCGCAGGCGCTCGAGGACCGCTACGGCGGCATGCTCGACAAGGACCGCTACACACCCGACTTTGTCCGCTACGCCCGCGTCTGTTTCGAGCGCTTCGGCGACCGCGTCAAGAACTGGATCACGTACAACGAGCCTGGCGTGTACACCCTCGCCGGCTACGCGGCGGGCGTGCACGCCCCCGCGCGGTCCAGCTTCCGCGAGCTCAACGACGAGGGCGACTCGAGCACGGAGCCCTTCATCGTCGCCCACACCGAGCTGGTCTCGCACGCGTATGCCGCGGACATGTACAAGAAGGAGTTCCAGCCGTCGCAGCAGGGCACGATCATGATCACGCTGCACGGCAACTGGTCCGAGCCCTGGGACGCGGCGGACCCCCGCGACGTCGAGGCCGCCGAGCGCGCGCGCGAGTTCGAGATTGCGTGGTTCGCGGACCCGCTTTACAAGACGGGCGACTACCCGGCGTCGATGCGGGCGCAGCTCGGGGATAGGCTGCCGCGATTCACGCCGGAGGAGAGCAAGCTCGTGCTGGGCAGCTCCGAGGTGTACGGGATGAACTCGTACTCCGCGTTCTACGTGCGCCACCGCGACGGGCCGGCGGACATCAACGACCACAAGGGCAACATTGAGCAGTTTGACGAGAACAAGCAGGGCGTGCCGCGGGGGCCGATGAGTGACACGTACTGGCTGCGCACGACGCCGTGGGGGTGGGCGAAGTTGCTGCGCTGGATTTGGAACCGATACGGCGTGCCGATCTACATCACCGAGAACGGGACCACGGCGCAAGGCGAGCAGGACTGGAAACCCAAGGGGCCGGACGACGTTCTCGAGGATCCGTTCCGGATTGACTTCTTCAAAAGCTATTTGACGGAAGTAGCCAAGGCCTCGCAGGAGGGCGTGGTGATTAAGTCTTACTTTGGGTGGACTTTTACGGATAATTGGGAGTGGGCGGCTGGGTTCTCGGACAGGTTCGGTGCGACGTGGATTGACTTTGAGAGTCCCGAGAAGACGCGGTATCCCAAGCGGTCTGCGTTGTTCTTGGGCGAGTTCTTCAGGCACTTGATTCGCAGTGAGTAGTTCAGTAACTCGAATGACAGTCTGCTTGAAGTGATGGACGCCAGTAATTGTGAAGTCGATGGTCATGAGTTTCTCCAAAAGCTCAAGGGCAGAACCAAGTAAAGAGAACAAAAAATGAAGCGTTGCAGGCCAAAACGAGCAAAAGATTGAGATCCTTGCCTCGAGGGCGAATCGAACGCCCGATCTTCTCATTACGAGTGAGACGCTTTACCACTGAGCCACCAAGGCATTAGGAGATCCATGTCATTTTGCTCACTTCATCGGCTCTTGTAGCTGAGCTCATGGGCTTCTCGTGCGAAGCATCATTTCGCAAAGTGTCGCATACAGCGATTTCGTTGGTGTTGTTTCTGTGAGCGAGCGATAGAATTTGACATAGTTTTTTTGTGCTGAATGCAAAGTGCGGCTAAGAGAAGGTTTTGTTTCACCTGTCTTTTAGTGTCCGTGTCTGACCTGGTTCAACCACGCCCCAACTAGAGCACCTCGGGCTGCTAGACATTGACCAGAATTGAAGAACAGCAACAAGTCCTACTAACATCGTAGTGCACATTATTTTGTAGAAATTGCGTTATAATTCGATTGCGTTATTATTCTTCCTGGGAATGTCATCTTAATTTAAGGGAGGAAGATACCTCAAGATATTGACTAAGTAACATCTCACACAGCCTAGAGCTGACGATTAAGAAGTCGCGATTGTTGCTGCGTCCTGCCGAGTTGAAACAGCCCGCCGTAACTCGATCAGAATGAAAACGTTCTCTCAGATTCTATATTTCTGCTCATTCGAGTAGTCTCACCGCCATATTCTGACGTCTAGCTTGGCGCCGACTCAGTCACCTTCACCCAGAACTCATACTGCATCCACAGGTTATGGTTGATGCTATGCCATGGCCTGCCGGGATTCACAATCTGAAAGTCAAAGTTTCGAAGGAGCTGTATGAAAAACGTCAGCGGTGTGTCCTATTCGCATGACACAGGCCTGACCTACCTCAAAATAGACCTTGTTCAGCTCCATAAAGGCGACGTTCTTCCCAGAGCATCCCCACCGTCCATGACCGAACGTCAACTCCGTGGTCCTCACCATGTTGTCTCTCGTCGCTTCGTCCGCCTCGAGCCACCTCTCTGGCCGGAAGAGGTCTGCGTCCTTTCCGAAGACGTCAAGCCGGCGGATCACACCCCAGAAGTTCTGCGCGATGCGTGTGCCGCCGGGAACGAAGCGACCATCGATGGTGTCTCCTTCCGCAGGAACCTCCTTGGAGCACTGCCCCGTGAATGGGGCGTTCATCCGGAGACCCTCGTAGATAACGGCCTGGCAGGCATCGCGTTAGCTGATGTTCACCGAGAGTAAGATGTGGCCATATACCTGTAGATACGGCAGCTGTTTGCCCTCTTCAGCTGTAATCGGCGATGAGACCCGACCCTCCGCAATCGCTTTGTGGATCTCTTTCTTCAAGGTATGGTATGCATTGGGTGAGGTCAGGAGATGGAGAAAGGTCGTGCGAATAGCCGTGGCGGTGGTGTCGGAGCCGGCTGTAATCTGGAACAGAACTTCTTGCTCGGCCTGGCCCTGCGTGAGCCCGTGGCGGACGAAAGAGCCCTATCAAAGTCAGTCTCACTTCTCGCAGCAACGGCGTCTCGACAGGCTT